TAAATTACCGGGGTCAAAAAACATAATAGCTTGCAACGCAGCGAATTCCGTAGTTGAGATGTTTAACTGCCGAAATGGCTTCATAACGTAGTCAATCATAGCAGCCATTACTGGCGTTAACCCGGATAAACTGAACGATAACGCTTTCCCAGTAGCTGCTGCATCACGGCGACGCTCTTGCAAACCAGTGGGCAGCCTGATAGGATCGATGTAAAACAAAAAAAGCTAATTTGAATGGAAAAAATAAAGAGAACTTCACCCACCACCCAACATTTACCCCCTCTGTGATAACCGCTGCTCGATTTGTTTTCTGACAGGCAGTATTATCCTCAAAAAGTTTGCTATCGAAAAAAGTATGCATCTCAGATCGTCCTTCGATGCCAGGAACAGGGCGGCCGTAGTCCTAATGGGATAATTACAACTTAACATGATCTTAAATGAGTAAAATCACTCACCTGCGGGATCAGAGTTCCGTAATCCGGCGGCAAGCTTCCATACTCAGTCGGAAGTCGTATTGATGGCGGCGGATCGGGGCTGTCGGCAGTTGGTTCAGTCTTGATTCTAAACAAGTCCAAACTCTTACTGCGCCTGAAAATCAATATCAGAACAAAGCATGTGTTAACAAAAACTCGACAGGAATCAAAAATTTGGAAGAAAAATTAACTTGCGTAGAACGACTTACAACGTTCCCTGTAATTGTTCATTCGTAGCTGAGCGGGTAATTACAGCGTTTTCTAGTTTCTTATCGTCAACATGTTCGGGAGTTCGAAACGCTTCACACATGATCATGTAAGAACTGGCATGATTGGTGATCAGCGCTACCTAGAACAAAATGCGCATTTGCTAACTGTAGAGTGTTTCCTTTCTCTTTTAGGAAACACATCAGGCAATTCCTTTTTTTCTGTTTGTATCTTCTTTTCGTTCGCTCATAGCTTCCGGCTCCCCTCTTTCAGCAGGTTTGATAGCTTAGAGTAATAAAGTTAAATAGGATGTTTTTTGAAATTTGGCGAAAGCGCAAAGACTTCTATAGCCATCGTTCGGACATACTCTTACTAAGCTACTTTTTAGTCTATCCTAAGATTTCTTTTCAACTACACCTAATTTACTAACTCGTTTTTAAAGTTTTGACTGTAAATGGATTAGAAATAGGTTTGTGCCAATTAGCGGTAGACAGCCTTTTATTCATTTTTTAGGCATAAAAACTATTGTTAAAAATAGAGAGGAAGGGATAAAATTCGTCTACAATGAATCTCAATGCATTTTGAAGATGGACGGTTTCACCCATGCCAACCTCCACGTCCTCCTCGAAACTCCCATCATCAGCTTCCACGTGATTGCTCTGTACGAAATCAAATTGGAAGATAGCCGTAGGACATCTGAGCGATGTATTACACATCTTGGTGAGTGTTAAATTTGCCGTGCACCATCTATTGTCCATCTTGCCACTTCAAACGAGATCCTATCAGCTCGTCTGACAATTCTTCGACTCTCTTCGACTCCTTCCTCTATATCAGAAGAACATCAGTACCACCAAGAGCCGCTCTCCAACATTAGCAGCTTTTGAATCAGAACTGCATACTTAAAGGATATGAAGTTATCTCCGAAGAGAACTCCGCCACAAGTTCGTGGTGGATGACTTCAAGCCGCAATACGGATGACAGGGGAGGGGAAGACACGATAGGAAAATTCAGGTAAGGGCTCAGGAATGAGAACGGCAGCCGTCTTGAACTCTTGTCTACTGTACGTCTCTTCCATGAAACTCCATCTTCAAGAGGAAAGAAGGGAGCCAAAGATGGATAAGCCGCCCAATAATATGGCTCAGATGGAGATCGGCCACGTTCTCATCAGCCGAAGGAGATGTCTACTAGAATCTTAGTGGAACTATCCTTACTTACTTGAAGATGGCCTCTCTCCACCCTTCGCGCAGGCAACAGCATTGCTTCCACCTTTTCTTTCTCTCGCTAGTCATCCACGATGTTGGTGATGAACCGCGGCGGCGACGTTCGCTAGGTCCGGATCCATTAATCTTTACCCGCTAAGAATTCAGCTGGTCCATCCGTGCAACGAACACGTCAGACCATCTGGTTGATAGCCTTCCTCGAGAACGTTTTGCTTTGCGTGAGATTCATTCCAGAGTTCTTAGTGTCCATCTGTCTCCTCATTATATGACCAGCCCATCGGTGTTTTGCCTTAGAGACGTATTCTGCTGGACCGCGAAGGCGAGACATTGATATATGGGAACTGCGAAGTCCGACGAGATGTTGAGTGCGTCGGTTGTACTTCAGAAGATGTCGTTCTAGCGTTCTGTGGGTTGTTCCGAAAGCCCTCGACGTAACCACAATGTCAGGACACATCTCTGCTGCGTAACAGAACGCAGGAAGAACAGTTGAATCGAACAGGTGAGTTCGGAGCTCTGGATTCATTAGCTGGTCTGTAGCTTCTTTTAGGGGCCCGAAGGGGCCCAAGCTGCTTTTTGCCTCTTGTTTGGTTTTTTCACCATGCTCATCATACGCCCGAGGTATACGGAAGAAGACGCCTCCGCATTTGGAGAGCCTTCTAAGTCCAATTCATGGTCCTCGCAAGAGCGTTCTTCATTAACTAAGTCTTCTTCCGATTGATTTGCAGTCCTATCCGCTTCCTACTTCGTTTTCTTTCAACATCGTCTCCGCTCCAGTGAGTCAAGCCACAGTGATCAGGAGCTCCTCCAAACTGACGCCGTTATATACGATTTCTCTCCTTCCTCCAAGAAAGTAGCAAATCTTCTTTTCCAGCCTTCGGTTGGATCGCACATTTGCTTAAAGAAGGCGGTGATCTCAGCCACTAGTGAAGGATGGTACCACTGAGACGTCCAGTAAGCACTACCTTCAATTGGTACGTGGTCGATCTCCGCATGAGTCGTATCATTGGGTGACTCCCATCCACCGCCGGTGTTCTTTCTTTATGAAGATTGAGTTGCTATAAAAAAATCGTGCGGCGGATAAGAGCTCAACAAGACGATTACCATTCTCATTCCGGAGTCCTGATCCAAACCTCCCGACCCTGTCCTCCCTTCTTCTGGCATCCAGATTTTCGCAAGTCACCTACGACAAACTTATAGAAGGGATTTTTTGTGGATGACTTCCTGCAAATCCTCATAAAAAGAATGAAATTCCGATTCATCAGATGCTGATGTTGGAGGATAGCAGATGATGATAGTGATAGTTTCTGATGCAGAGGACGAAGTCGAAGGATTGTCAGGCGAGGTGATAGGTTCTCATAACCAACAAGATGGACAACAGATCGGTGTACGACAGATCCAACGCCTCCAACGTTCCGTGATAGAATTTTTTCACCAAGAATTATGAGTGTGCATCACTCAGCTGCCTCGCGTCCGTCTTCCCGGACTTTTTTTCCTGCAAGGAGAGTACGTAGTAGTTAATGCGCCCTGCAGCAACTACCCTTCTGCAGCAATTCGGATCACCGTCACCTTCGAGCGAAAGTGCGGTTCAGTCATGCTGCAAAGAAGATCTGCTACCATATTATAGGAAGGAGGGAAGTTGTACATGACAGCTTCACGAAGGTGAACCTTAAAGAGTTGTGATGAGAAACCAACGAAGGACTAGGATTTGCTCCTCAAGGGACTGAGAGCCAGTGATGAAAGCGCCACATTTCTTAAACAAGGGACTTGGTGTGCTCCTCAAAAGCAACCAGGAATTACAAAAGAGGAGAGCAGAGAACTTTTCAATTATAGTAATCCGCTGATAACATTACTGAACAAGGTGAAACTCCCATGTTGCATCAAGCTGTCGATACACGCTAGGCCAATCGCGACGATCCTCTTTGAATGTGTTATAAGTTACTAAGAGAAAGGAGCTACAACCCTCCCCCATCCCGCTTGTTGCGAACGATATAGGTTTGAAAATTTGAATAACGTTGAGAAAGTAAGACTTGAATGAAAAGCAATTTGGCTCTTATCTCAGATTTTACCAGCTGAGGTAGTGGCAGGAGTCCGCAATAGCGAAAGTACCTTGCGCACAAATGAACGATTAAAAACGGTTTAAGAGCATACGACCTATACATAGCACACCAAATTCAACACATGAACGCTACGGAAGCCTTTCTTATATCAGGCGACAACAACAGAAATTACCTTGTCAGCATGAGGAAGGTTTCGGAAACAAGCAAATGATTTTGCCCAATCAATGTACAATGCAATTATTCGTGATCTCCAAAATGGCATTTTGTTCTCGTCAGCGCCCGGTTTCGGTGACGCTATCGGGTCAGTAATCTAAAAATAAAAAAAGGAGACTTCAATAGATCTCCGCACGAACATTCCTAATCCGACTTACTCTGACGCTAATGGGTTGATGGAAACGGCTGGGCGCTGCTAAGGCATCATCTAACGATGCATAGGGCTCAATTTCAGCGCGACTTAGTAGCAATGTCAAGTTGTTCTCCAATGTTGTTAATCGTTCTAACATTGGATCAACAGCATTCTAGATGGACGAAATGGAAAAACTACAGGATAAAAAACGAGGAGAAGTTCTTCACTCACATTTTCGTGCTTGTGTTGACCTGAGTCCAAACAACTTGGACCAAGACGAATATCTTCATGGCTGAATGAGTCAGGTGATGAAGCATGTCGGCTGCTAAAAAACGATTTATCGTTGAATGAATAGAACTGACAACATGTAACTGTATATACTTTAAAGTTCCAGATGCTTTTTGGGTAAGAAGAATGCTTACTTAGTCGGATATCATATATTTGAAATCTTTTAACTTACCTTTTTATAAAAAAATTTTCTTTCGAAATTTGATATCAACCCGGCCTAAATCTGAGAGAGAAACCAAGCAAATGGTTTTAAAATGTACCTCATCTACAGATTTGCACGACAACCTATGAGATATGTGAGTTTGAAAACCATTTATTTTGAGCAACAGCAGAGAACACGCAAAAGATACAAAAACTGCGAACATTTGTAGGTTTGGCACGCGCGATCGATTAATGTCAACCCTCCCATTAAGAAAGATATTCATAAGGAAGAAGGCAGAATGGTTGATAAACGAGGCCGATGAGATAAGCGCCTGAAGGTTAATTATTG